TCGGATAAAGGGCATAATACCCAGAAGTTCGGGATTCACGAGCCTGGAAGAATTCCAAGAGTTTGTTAAGTCCCAGCGAGTAGCCCGCCTCCGCCGCAACAGTGAAGGTACACATGAGATACCGAAGCATGTTGGGCGACATCTGAGAGAAGGCGATTCCTAGATGGTTGAGATAAATAAGAAGTATCTCGGGAAGAGGAAAGAACAAGCCGCATCCTTTGAAATAAATATCATAGGCGCAGCAGTAACCCTCTCGCCCCGATTCTGGAGACTCATAGGGCTCCGGGACCACCATTTCCACTTCGGGGGGAATGTGGCATAAGCAACGAAGATCGTTAAGAGAATCAACAGTCGATTGACTCTGAGGGTGAAGATCAAACCCGTCTCTGGTTTGGATATGAGGTTCGGTTCCTTCACCCATAAAAGCTTCGAGATCTTCAACCTCATACTCGCGAATTTCAGAAGGAAGGTTCGACATTTTACGAAAGTGGTTTTACCGAAAAGAAACAATAATCTCTGTAATAAGAGTGAAAAGTTTTCTAGGTAAAGAAGATAAGATGGGAAAGTAATCTTACCTCTTAGAACCAAAAAGTAAGATGGAAGACCGCCTCGAAATATTGGGAAGCGGGACAGTTTTCCCCACAGTATTAATATAAAATTAAGAAATTAATGATGACGGTTGTCAGGGAAATCAAATCATTTGATTATCCGAGATCGGCGTAACAGCGTAAAACATGGAGAATTTCCAGAATGTTAAAGATCTCGATTCATTAATTACTATTTACTTAAGTCTTCCAAGCCGAGCACTCAGCTCGCAAGACTTGGGGGGCTAAATGTTGGGGTCGGATCCCACACATTTTTGGTAGGATCCACTTGCATCTGTCCACGTCATTATTACATAATAATCATCTCGGAATTCAAGATTTTTTATTAAACTTGACCAGTTGGGAGTTCGATTCAGTTCACTAAAAGAGTTCGATCTTTACCAACATGGAGTTCGCTCTTATTCAACATACAGTTCGCATAGAGAAAGGCCGAAGCGAGGAGAATATTGTTCAAGGCTCGCAATAGCATCAAAGCACGGGAGTTCGGAGTCAGCAAGAAAGAGTTCGGAAAGCCCATGTGAAGCCCAAGATAGTTCAAATTCAAGCCGTTTCGGTCAAAATTGTAACTTACATGATTAATGCGGATCAATATAATTATGTACAGTGAATGACCGCATTAATCATGTTTTCTCTATAAAAACGACCTCAAACGCATGTGTTTGGGGGGAGAGATCTTTTTACTTACGACTACTAAGCAATACAACATACTTTTTCCTCTTACAATTTCGCAAGGCTTTGCATACTTAGTTCTTATCAAATTTCTTTACTTTATTTTTTCTTGGTTAATTTCCTTTTCGAATTCTCATATTCATTGGTTGATTTTAAGAGTTTTTCTCCACTGAAATACTTAAAGATAATTGAGTGTGAATCCTACATCCACAAGCATCACACCCATTTGGATTGACACCTTAAATACTGCAATGACATGATAGTAATTTAAGGATAATTGATCTTAGTTAAAATCCTACTATCAGAAAGACTGTCCCGATCGAGCTGCATGTTTATTCGGGATGCTTGATGTTTGGCTCGGTCTTAGAAGGTGGATGGAATCCGACCCCAACACTCTCTACTACTCCATTCTGTTGTGGTGTTCTTGGAGCTGAAAACTAATGAGCGATCCCATGACTTTCACAAAACTTTTTCATGGATTCATTTTGAAATTCTCCACCATGGTCACTTCTGATCTTCTTGATACCTCCTTTCTCATTTATAAGCTGAAGAGCCCAAATTCTAAAGCTATCTTCTGTGTCAGATTCTTCTCTTATAAATCTAACCCATGTGTATCTAGAAAAATCATCAACCAACACAAACACATATTTATTTCCAGTTATACTCTCAACTGGCTTAGGTCCCATTAAATCCATATGTACTAAATCTAGTACTGACTTAGTCTGGACATCTGGAATCTTCTTGTGATGAACCTGATTACATGGACCACACACCATCTTATCTTCCTCTTTGATCTTAGGTACACCCCGGATTATCTCTTTATTGACGAGTGTTGCCAAATTTCGAGTATTCATATGTCCTAGATGTTGATGCCACAAGTTTAGATCATCTTTTGCAAAGAAACAGTTGTTTGTGTGGTTCTCCCACATATAGCAGTTATTCTCTGTCCTTTTTCCTCCTAGAACAGTAGCTCCGGTTTCGTTGATAGCTTTGCAATCCACCCTAGTAAACGTTACCTCCAATCCTTCATCACATAGCTGGCTTACACTTATCAGATTGGCTTTTAAACCACGTGCAAGATAAACATTCATTAACTGAGGAAGCCCATCACTATCAGTTTTCCCTTTGCCTTGTATATCTCCATGTCCTCCATCACCAAAAGTCACTTTTCCTCCCTTTATCTTTTTGACTTCTTGTACGTAACTCTTTGTGCCTGTCATATGTCGTGAGCACCCACTATCGAAATACCAAGGACCTGTTTTCTCATGTTCTTCTGTGATTAAAGCCATGCTGCATCTGAAACCCAATCCTGATCTGCTTCTTGATGTACTTCCAGACATAGTTGGATATAGATCAGTTTTCTTTACCCATATTTGATTTTTGTATCTGTTCCAGAAATACTTTCTTTGATGTCTGAGCTTTCCAACCTTCTCGCAGAACTTGTAACAATGAACTTTTATATGGCCATTCCTTCCACAAAAATAACATCCAGTATTTCTAGCTTCATTCTTTGCTGCATCATCTTGATTGTAATGAGATATTCCTCCAGACACAAACTTGATTTGACCTGAATTTGATTTTTCTTGTCCATTGTAACCTAATCCTCTGTTAGGCTTCTCTGTTCTTCCATAACTCAGTATCTTATCAAGTTGTTTAGTTCCTGCAACCATGTGGATTTTACGATGTTGTTGGTCCAATTCAGCTTGAAGTCCAGCTGATATCTTCCTTTCAGCTACTAATTCTTTCTCCAGATTGTCTGCTTTAGATGATAAGATCAGTTTTTCTTTCATTAGACTCACACTTTCTTTACTAATCTTCTTTTCATCTTCTAACTGATTCTTCAGAGATTCAATAAGAGCTTCAAGATGTTTCTTCTCTTTTGCCAGATCTTGATTTTCCTTTCCTAGTTTGATCAATGTTTCTCTTACCTCTTTGTAACTTTCAGCAAAATCAACTTCTTGTTCTTCATCCGTATCAGAATCAGTGACTTCTTCTCCTTCTACCAGCTCCGTGATGCCTATCAAAGCAACATAATTGAGTATTTCTTCTTCTTCACTGTCTTCATTGACTCATTTTCAATTCCAATCATTGATTTCTCCTTTCGGTTTTTCAAATCACTTACACATTTATCCTGAGAATGTCCAATTCCCTTTCATGTTGAGCATTTATTTTCACGTTTCTTGACTATTGGACATTCACGAAAAAGTGACCATACCCTTTGCACTCATGACATTGCATATCAGCTTTCCTTGATGGTTTGTTGTCATCTGAATTTTTCTTGAATGAACCAAACTTCTTTTGTCCCTGTCCTTGTTCTGCCCTTCTTAGAACACGATCAAACCTTCAAACCAACAAACTTAATGGATCTTCTTCTTCTGATTGAGATTTGCTCTCGCAAGATGTTAATGTCAATCCTTTAGGTTTCTTAGTTTCTCCTAACTCTAACTCATGTGCTTGAAGCATTCCCACTACTTCTCCAAATTGTGTATGTGTTGTTTTACACTGTTAGAGCAGTCTTATATGCCAAAAACTTTGATGGTAGACATCTTAGAAATCTCTTGACCAATTTCTTATCTTTGTATTTCTTTCCAAGAGTTGTTGCTTCTTGAGCTAATAAAGTTGGTTTGGAACTGAAGTTAGAGATTGATTCATTCTCTTCCATCCTCAGATTTTCAAACCTAGATGCTAGCAAATCTTTCCTCGATGTCTGAACCTTAGCTGTTCCTTCGTAGTGAATCTGCAAGATGTCCCAAACTTCCTTTGCCGTCTCACATCCTTGAATTAAGTCAAATTATTTTCTTCAAACACTGCAGTGTAAGGCTGTGAGAGCCCTAGCATTAAATTTGGATTTCTTCTTCTCATCTTCAGTCCAATCCGACTCTGGTTTGGCTGTGGAGCTTCCATCTTCATTTTTAATTTGTGGTTCTTTCCATTCTTCCAGGACACACTTCTAAGCTAATACGTCTATGCCTCTTATCACAGATTTGATCCTTAATTTCCAAAAACCGTAGTTTCCATTGTCTAGAACAACCTTAGAGTTGTTAACCAGCTCTTGATAGCTCTCCATCTTTTCCACAAGATCTCACCTGTATTTAATCCTCACAAGTGACTGCTCTGATACCAATTATAAACGCAAGAGCTATTGTGAATAAGAACTAGTTAACGTTGAACACAAGATTTCTCAAAACTTTTTCGATTTATAAAAAATATGTTTACAAGGTTTTTCCTTAACACTATTTTCTATTCTCTCAAAGTCTTGTTCTTCAATCACAACCCGATTAAGAACATGATCTCTCTCTCTCTCTAAACCCCTTAGCCCTCTTTAAGTCTTTAGCTCTCTTTTCTCTTAAGCTAGAACTTAATTGCTTAGGAATTCTCTTATTTGAAAGTGCTAAGCGTTTCTCAAGCCTTAGCATTCTATTTATACTAAATAGGTAGAAACCATACAACAGGCCAATTTCCAATCCTAAACTAATTGGAATGGACAATTTCCTTTTTCTTCAAGGAATAGGAAATTGTCCTTTGTCTTCATGTTTCCTTTTCTTTCTCATGAAAAGGAAACTCTTCAGTCTTCTAGAATCTTCTCCAAGCTTCTAGTATCCATAGTTTAACCGCCATAGACCGACTTACTAATTTCCATAAGTGTTGCTCTGTTCTTTAAACTTTTGCTTCACGTTGCTCTGTTCTTTTGAACTACATCTTGAAGTACTTTGTCTTGATACAGAGACTCCTTCAGTGGTTGCATCTTCAAAGACTCTCTAGCCATTGTACACCCAACACTGAATCTAGGCCCACCAATGGTAGAGCGTATAGCGTGACGCTGAACTCTGCTTCTCCCTGCCTGAGCAACACGTTCTCATACTTCCGACGACAACGGAGAGGACTCCCATTCGCGACTCGCACATCAAAGGGTTTCATCGCCGTTTCCTTCAATTTGAGTCCGTGAGCTACTTTCTCCCCAATAAAATTATGTGTCGAGCCACTGTCCACAAGCGCAACCAATCCATGTCCTCTGATTTTTGTGTGTAGTCGAATAGTGGTCGATGTATCCCAACCTGACAATGCGTGACGAGTAATCTCCGGTGTCCGGAGGTCCTCCTCTCCCTCATCGTTTTCTTCCTCCGCCTCATCATGCTCACTCTCCATGATAAACAACTGCGGCTGTTTACATTTGTGGCCCGGAGTGTACTTCTCGTCGCAGCTGAAACACAACGCCAAGCTGCGCTTCTTCTTCCCAATTCAAGCGACGTGGTGTTGTCAGGTTCTTTTCTCTACTCACTATAGCAGTCGGCGGAGTATACCGTGAATTTCTCGTCGATTGTGATGAATTCCCGGTATAAGATCTCCATCTCCTCTCATGTTGTAACTGCTCGTCCCTCATTCTTGCCAAATTGATTGCTTCTGTAAATGTTTTTGGTTTGAGGATCCGAATTCCGCTAGATATAGAGATGTGAAGCCCCCCCCCCCCCCATGAATGCTCCCACCAGAGTTTTCTCGGACCAATTCACCTTATTTTGTAAGCGCTCAAACTCTCTCTGGTATTCAATTAGCGTCCCTTTTTGGCGTATGTGACACAGGGCTTCTTCAAAATCTATTCCATCTGTTGGACCAAACCTTGTCCATAACTCTGCTTCAAATGTCTCCCATGGCATACGACGTGCGTCAAACCTCGCCCCCTGGACTTAGCTTGCCACCAAGCGTTTGCTTCTTCGGTCAGATGATACGACGCAAAGCTTACCCTCTGTTCTCTTGGTACCTCATGATATGTGAAGTACTGTTTTGCTCTGTTCAGCCATTTCTCCGGATCTCCGCCATTGAATTTTGGAAAATCAAATTTCACTTGATGAACATGCCCTTGCATCGGTCACCGCGAACGGATTTGTATTCTCGCTCCTCTGATCCATCGAGTACTGTTGCTCTTCCGCCTGCCGCTGTACCCGACTCGTGCTAGTACCGCTCTCTCGGCTGGTCACGATGAGTTCACGCATCTGGTTCACTGTCTCTTCCAACATACGTTTAAAGGATACCTCCATCCGTTGAAGTTTGTCGTCGATACCAGTGTTTACCCGCTGCATCTCCTCTTGTACCGTTCCTAGGCTTTCTTGCATCAGCCCGAGACCCGCCTCAAGGTCATCGAGTCTCTCTTTGTTGTTAGGCATTGGCGCTAACAGTTATTTTTGTGTTTTTTTTGTTTTTTGGTGGAATGATGTACGATGATGAAAGTGAATGAAAAAAAAAATGTTCTTGTTGAGACAAGAACAGAACTGCTCTGATACCACTTAATAAGTTGGTCCCTCTTCAAAGCCAAGAGATTGATAATAAGAACACACAAGAATTGACTGGTAGTTAAGACTACCTATTTTTGTTGTTTTTCATTGATATAAATAGACAAAGTACACTAAGCAAATAACAGAAATGAGAAGTGGAGTCACTGACTCCTACAATGCTGGAAATGGGAAAGTGGAGATAGTCTTCCTACAAAACAGGAGGACTTAGAGCAACATTATTAATAGGTTCTTAATTTTGGCTCTTAGCAATATTATAGTATTAAATATGTAAAAGTTATTGTTAAGAGATTGTATTTTGTTTTAAGATTTTATGTATCTCCAATGGTAGGCTCTTAACATGTGGTTCTTAGAAGAAAAAAATATTAATATAAAAATAAAAAATTTCATTTTAGAAAACTTAATAATTAATGCAAATTAAAAAATTTAAAACATACATGAGATACAATTTATAACATACATGGCATAAAGCACAATAGTTTTAAACTTGATTTCCGGAAATTTTTGTCCATATATGCTCAACCAAATCCTTCTTCAATTGTTGATGCATAGCTCGATCATGAAGTCGAGTTCTAGTGCACCGCTTCGTCCACCGCTTCGTCGAAATTATCACGGGAAGAAGATGCCATTTTCAAAGCAGAAAATATAAATTTTGTGGTAAGAAGTAGATAATATGAATTTTTGGATTAAGTAGAAAAGTTTAGAATTTTTGGTGTAAGTAGAAAATTGGAATGTTGTTTTGGTTTGGGAATTTGAGAACTAGAGAGAATGATAAAATTGAGAAAATGATAAAATTGAAAATATGAACGTTGGTTTTGGATTGAGTTTGAGAGAACTAGAGAGAATAATAATATGAACGATAAAACAGACTGTGAATGATGTAATAGAGTTTCATACATGGTGACAGATGTAGTGAGTTTTTTATACTATATGTATATATGGTGACAGATGTAGTGAGTTTTTTATACTATATCCCCGAAGCTCTGGAGCTGTTTTCTGCGGCTATATTGTTCATAAAGCTCTATAAGCTTGTTGACCTTTATTTTCTGGCGCAAGTCATCATTTTCTTTCGACAACTTGATTGCTGTCTCGTGAGCTTCAGCTTCTCTTTGACTAGCACATGCAATGGCTTGAACCATTGTTATAACTTCCATCTGATCATCATCACCAACTATGCCTGAGGATCTTATTCTTCCCTCAAGTTCATTAGACAAATTGAGAACAAGCCTGCAAGAGAAATCCAAAGAGATGAGCTGAGGCTTCAAGATTGAACCTGAAACAGAAATAGATATTGTGTGCAGTAAGTTACTTTTGCAATCTCTCTTTCTCATCAAGTGAAAAACTTAACGTCTTCTGAAGAGATTCCATTTCTGCCCAGTTTTGAATAGCCTTCAGATTACAAAACGAAACAAGAAAGTTAGACAACTTAATGGCATAAACTTTGACTGAATAGTCGGACTCAAGGCAAGACTAACCTGCATCCGGAGGAATTCATTCTCATCTTGGATCGACGAAAGTTTCTTTGATTCCTGATTCTGCAAAAAGAAAAACAGGAACAAGTGTCAAAACGTAGAAAAACAACTTATTTGCGTACCAGAAATTAACAGACTTTGTGAGGCACCATCAGCAGAGATGAAAGAGAAACAAGCCCTTACCTGGTTTGAGCAGAACATATTGCTGATGTTACCATCTTCTTTAACCATGGAGGAATCTGACTCGTGCATGAGTTTCCAGTCAAAAGCTTCTAGCAACTGTACATAGATTCAAGTTACATGCTAATTAAAATCGTAAACAAACTTCTGAGGTCTTGAAATGACTTCTAACGTACCAACTTCATTGAGGCCTCATTTTCAGCAGCCAAGGCCTGTAAAGCAGCGTCCTTTTCCCTCTCTCTTCTGAAAGCACCAACAAGTGCAACTTCGTAGTCTGTTACTTCTTTCTGTAAAATATGATTTCAGACACTCAATAACAAGTTCATAGGAGAGAAAAAGCAAGAGTCTTTGCTGACAAAACTACCTTGAGTTGTTGAATTTGAAGCCGCATAGCAATAACATCTCCAGATGCATCTTTCCTGACAACTGCCTGTTGGGTTTAATATAATTAATACAACTAAACTTAGCAACTATATCAGATCCATGACTTAGCAAACAATAGCAAGGAATTCTTTCATTACATTGTTCTTAATAAGCTTGGCACGCTGGGCAAACTTCAAGGTACTTAGGGTCTCCAATGAGCAACTGAATAAGAGAAAAACAGAAACATGAGATACAGTCCAATAAATGTTTCAGGCAGAAAGTTCATGGAATGATAAACAAACACAGAGTATCAGTTTACCTGCTAGATGGGCTAATATTAGCAATTATAATTGTCTTTGAATTCCCTCCAAGAGAATCCTGTAGATATATAAGAGTGACAGTCAATGATCACGGCAATTAGGGTGCGAGAACCACGATACAGGAATCCATGCTATGCCATATGCTTGACATCATTTAAAAAGTTTTTTTACCTGAAGCAGAAATGTGAGCTTCGAATCTCGATAAGGAACATGGACTGATTTTCCATTGGAAACGCTTACGAGATTCATGATCACAAGCCTGCAAAGTCAGTGTAGCCACAAATCATTAAAATTATATAACAAAGACCAAACTAGAAAACTTGAAGCTTCTGCAAGATGTATTCTTACCCCAATGTAGAAAGAGACTTGTTGATGTTGGTTGCTTCTTTGAGGCGTTCACCTTCAGCTCCTGAACTCTTTTGCCTATATTCCAGATGTTAGCAGAATATCTTGAACAGAGAAAGGGTAGTTTGTTTGAAATTTATAGCTGATGTTACCTTTCAGATCCAGCCAAATCAACAAGATTAAGCCGTGCAAAACGATGATGAGTTACACCTTGAGATACCCACTAATAGAGAACACACAGGTTAATTTTTACTTTGAGAAATTGATAAGATATACACATCATAATGATTTCAGAAATACAGCCTGAGAACTCACTTTACAAGTTGAATGCAATTAATTACCTTGCTTTCGATGATACATGTAAATACACTGTGGGATCGACTACTTGCACAATTCATATTAGTAGCAGCTACTTTTCTGTTTGCAGCACCCTACACATAAAAGATGTGGAAGTTGCATAAGAAAGCTATTATGAAATTAAATGAATGACATGAGCAAATTGCCGACTACTTCTTGCATTATCTTTCTGTTTATGGAACGAAAGAGCATCTAGCATGCAAAGTAGTTAGTAAATGCAAAAGAAAAGATGGAAGTTCAAGAAAATAGTGTCATTAAAGCTTCTCCATGTAAACTGACTAATTTGACTAAGCAAACTCACAGTATATTTTCCGTAAACTTTCTTGAAACTTAAACATAGACATAACAGGTTATTTTGAGAAATTTAATCTTTCTTAGGATCAAACTTTTATACTTAAGAAAAGTAGTACGGAAGCAGGTCAGAATCAAAAAAAATCTAGAAGAGCAGAGTAGCAGACCAAGTGCACCTAATATAAAATAGCTAAACGAAGAAATGAATTACCTGCATCAATTGTTGAATCACGTCTCTGGCACTTGAAACTTCAATCTCCTTTAAATTCTCAACATGAATACCTTTCTTGTGGTCCTCTCTTAGCTACAAAAGAGAATATTTGGTTAATTCCCCATAAAATACAACATTCAGATAACAGGTTTCGATGATACATTTTGTATGTATACCTGTAAATTATAAGATGATGGATCTAATAAATCAAGGATTTGCTCGTTGTATATCTCCAGAAATGAGCATCTACAAGTGAAATGTAGCTTTTCCTCTTTGCGGACCTCTTTTTCCTGGTACAGAAAAAACAGATAAGTTAGAACACACCATTTCACAGCTAAAACATATGCATACAGAAATATGTATGGCACCAAACCTTTTGGATCCTTGAGAACAAATACTCAAAAACTCTAGGTGTCATCCCGCAGTTGACACTATGTCTACGTGTTCCTCCCTCGATATCTCCAAGCATAGTATGAGTTTTCCCACTTCCAGTCTACAAATTAAGACTACCATCAGACTGGAAGCACAGATAAAACTCACATTCAGGGAAAGAATAAACCTCACCTGGCCATAAGCAAACATACAGCTATTGTAACCAGCCACAACATTCTCCACCATAGGCACTCCAGCCACTTTAAACATCTGCTCCTGTAAGAACAAATAAAAGCAAGCAGACTCAGGAACATTCTTGAGCTTCAAAAAGAATGCATAAAAAACCGCTGAAACAAACGGCAATACCTGGCTAACATTCTCATCAGCAACGAGATCAAATGTGAATCGAGACTCTGGATTCCCAATCCAAGTGATTGCCTGACCATTGTCTTGCCTCACACATTTGTTATTGCCTTGTACAGAAATTTCTGAACTACTAAGTGGACGAGTTCTTATAATAACCTATTTTCAACATTCCAAGAAACGATAGAACAAACTTAGTTTTCTTTTATCCTTAAAACCCTAAAATGTTCTCAAAATCAATACGTCAATGTGAAATCCTCAATTATGTGTTAAACCACAAAACCTCAAAATCAGTTTAACAAAGAACACAGTGACTACTACACAGAAGCTCGGCGAAATCAAATCAACACGAATCATCATCAATCACCAAATCGATCAATACCAAAGGATATAGAAGATCGAACCTGAACATTGTGATCTTTCCAGAAAGCGGGATCTTCATTGAACTCAAAGCTTTGAGACCTCGATATATGAGCAGATCCAGCGCAAATCGCACCATCTTCATCCAATTCAGGCATGCTTCGAACCGCGGAAGAGAAAACCGTAGACTGATGAGTGTGATTCTCTCTCGTGACGGTGTTAGCTTCCGGCGTGCAAGGCACAGAGCGGAGAGATTCCGACGGAGCGGGACGGTCGTTGAATCCGAACCGCGGAAGAGAAAACCAAAGACTGATGAGTGTGATTCAGGAATTTTGTTTTTTGAGATATTTGTAGTACTAGTGTCTGGCCCGTTCTCTGCACGGCCGAATATAGCATTAGTTTCTTTAATTAACATTTATACTGTTTAATCAATACAGTTAATTGTTATTTTGGGTTTGTTTCCTTTTTCGAGTTTTTATTAAAAAACATATGAAATTGTTGACACACGTAGTTTAGAGTTTAGTGGGTAAATTTCAGGCCACAGCATTTGACCATATTTTTTAACCAAGTTTTGGCAAAATGAGATTGGGTTCTCATGATATAACCATTCATTCATTTTTGGACGAAAATACTCTTGTAACCAAATGTGAGTATGACTAATCTGGTTTGCTACAGTGTCTAGTTTATGCCAGAAAAAAAAATATAATTATTATTATTCTTCATATTTTTTCTTGTTTTCACATTTTTTCTATTTTTCTTTTTATAATTATTTTTTATTTTTGTACTTTGGATTATAATTCTTTTTTTTCTATTTTTTAAGACCCATATTCAAAAAAAAAAATTACTATAAATTAAAAATTTATTTTTTAACTCTAAATTGTGTTGTTTAGAGACCGTTCAAAATTAGAAGAACCATGTACATATATATTTATGTAAACGAAATAGTTTTGCTTATGTGTACATACATATTTAAATAATTATATAAATGTAAAATATTTTTTGAGTTTATAATGCATGTGTTTCTCATATATTTATGATGCATGTGTTTAATGGAGATTCATGTATTTATTGTTGTTTGTGAGTAGAGATGCAAAGAATGTAAATAATAAAAAAATTTAGCTGAGGAAAAGAAGTAGCCGCAGAAAACATTACCGATTGTGTACACGTAAAAGTATGTGTAGCCGCAGGTAAGGTAATGTACGTATACAGATCAGATGGAATCAGACAAATGATGGAAAATGATTTGTTATATTCTGATTGTAACCGTCTTCCCGGTGGAAAATGATGGAATCGTCAAAGTCAAGATTATGCACGAGAGAAAACAGAGTCCTCCACCTCTTTGAGAGAAGAGAGGTTGAAACAGCTTGTTTCGTGGGAAGGAAGGATAAGATTTGGACAAGAAGATCATCTGGAAGACAATCCATTGAAGCCGAATTAAACTGTTTAGCAACTTCTTCTCCATGTTCCATATCAAGAAGCTTCGAATTTGAGTTGTTCATTTGCTGCTTGGTTGTTTTATTTGGTGAAGGATAATGAAGCTCTTGCTAGGGGTTTTATAGTAACTTTATAATGACTAGGTGAGTACCCGCGCTACGCGCGGGATTTTGTTATAAATTTTGTTTTAATATTTTTTTAAAATTTATTTTAATTTATATGTATATATTATTAGATTCCTGTATTTTTTTAAAATTATGTATTTTTCTAATTTTATTTATTATTTTTTTAAAATTTATTTTTGTATATCGTTGCATGTTTGAGACTAATATATACATTTTTAAAAAAAATTTCTCATTTAGCTTTTAAGATATATTTTAATATTATTTTTATTATTATTTTAGTATAATAACTATACAATTTGTAATTTTATATGGAGTTTATCAACTCTAATTGAAATGTTTTGTTTTTTTTTAGTTAGAACAATTTATTTAATGTAAAAAAAAAAGTAAATATCCTCAAATCTTTAAACTTGAATGTAAAACAAAATGATTGGTTCGAAATGACCATGTCCACAGTTGTATTTAAGTATTTGTATAAGAAAATTGCTTTTTAAACTCCATTTTCTCTTGGTCTCCATTTTTTGTCCCTCCACTTTAACTGATTGTAGTAGTTGTTGTCGGCTTCTTGTTGGGATTTGGTTCCTCAAATGTGCTCCAGCCCTATAATGAATATTTTGTGTTATATATGTTTATGTAAATTTTTTTTTTTTTAAATTATATTTACCTCGTCAAAGTCTTTATAACTTATGTTTGACACCATGAAATTCTGATTCTTGGGGGTATAGTTGAGAGGGGATACTCTTATTTGGAAACGGAAATGTTTGTTAGCAAGATCACTTAAACATGTTGGTAAGATATTGTTCTTACCTTTGTTGCCCTACAAAAAATGTTTATTTGTAGGTTTAATTGTTATTAAAAATGAGTAAAATTTGCAATATTATAGGATAATTACTTTCCTAAGATTTTATTTACCTTCTCTTCCATAATTGTGGTTGCCGTTTTGTTTGTAAGTTTTCTCCTTTCTTTGTCTAAAATCACAAATGTCGCACCATGTTCTCCATCATGAACATCAAGCTCCACTCGATACCTATGAAATAGTTGTATATAATAGTATTTAAATATTAAAAATTCCAAATTGTTATATCTTTAATTCGTTGTGTTTGCAATTTATTAAAATTAGCTATAAGAAAATTATAGCGTACCTAAGAATTCCTTCCTCATTAGGCGTAACACAACTTTTGCATCGTAGTAGTGTTGTCCTTTTCTCTAAATTCCGTCCACAATCTTTACAAGATCTGTATGTCCATCCGTTTCTTTGTAGCACTCCAACAACATATGCGTTGCAAAAAAATTCAGCATCCTGAGTCTTTTAAAAGTGTTGTAGATTTATCAAGTTTAGTTAGTTGTACATGTATTTATATGTGATGATAAATTAAAATACTCTATTGTGTTAAATACCTGTTCGTTAGCTTTGGATATATAGTCGTAAAGTTCAGCGATGGATACTTCTTCTTTTTTCATGTCTCCCACCATGGTTTCTGCATGTCCATATGTTTCTCCTTCTTCGATTCCCATCCTATATGGATAATTAAACAATTGTTAAAATTTGTGTAGATAAGTAAATGTGTTACTTTTTAGCTAATTTATTTAAACCTTACTCTTTTGTAAATTTTTGGATGACATCAAATGTTGAGTCAAAATATATCCTTGTTGCTTCCGTAGAATTCAAGTATAGGTTACCTTGTTCATGTTAAATGTATTTTTATTAATATAAAAGTTAGTATGATGTAAAATATTTGGTTAAGTATATAATTAATTTATTATTAAAGGAATTACCTCCAAAGAGTTTTGGATTAATCGTTGTTACCACCATGACATTTTTGTTGGATTTTTTTTTGGAAATTTGTGAGCGGAAAGTTGATGCAGCCTCACCCCAAAGTTGTAAGTAGACAATAACAGACCTAATTGTCAAGATTTAATTATATAATTTGATATATTTTCAAATTAATATGTTTTAGAAGTGTTTATAATTTAGCATCACTTACGTATCCATCTTAAATCGCATGACCAAACGTTCTTTTGAAGTTCCATCATGAAGGTTTGATCCTTGCACAAACATTACTTCTCCAACAACGTCTGTAAATTGAATGTCATTGTTATTTTCTTTAACAATAAAATAAATAAATATATATTATTTTGGTATAAATATTTATAATGTGAATGTTTACCAGGTAGTGCAAGGTTTGTGTTTGCTAGAGCTTGGAGGTGGTTGCTGTTCTGGAGCATGAACTTTTCTTGATTTATTGTTACGCCGATATTTCCTATCTTAGTCATGTTTGTTGATGGAAGAAAACGGATGGCTAATGGATTGTCTGTAACCTTGTATAGATTTGTGCTTCTTCCCACTTCAAACCCACTAAGATTGAAGATTTCACTTTCTTGTAAAACATAACGGTTATGGTCGACAAGTGAAGCAGGTATGAAACCATGTAAAACTGTGTTCTGCAAATAAAATGAGATTATGGTTTAGTTGTTGGTCTCTACATTGAAGGCCAATATGTATTAAAAATATTTAAAAATTGGTAATACCTTTTCATCAAGGAAAAGAAGGACAATCCCCATTAATTCGCCATCCTCTTTATTATTGGTAGCTTCCCAAAACCGAAGGAGCCTTCCAACAATTTGTTGATTAGATCGTCCAAGTTGTAAAGCATCAAACGTGACATAAGAAGCATCTTGTGGGATAGCAACAAACTCTACTCTGATTTGGCCTATGATTTGTCTCTTCTTTGCTGAATGTTGGTGACGACAGGTTGATAGAGAAGATGGAAGAAGACCAAATCAGCTAAAGGTTACGTATTTAGCTGCTTGTTAAGATTTGATTGGAGGTATGAGAATGTTTATGGATGGAATTGATATTTAGAAAGGAAAAGAGTATTATTAATGTTTGGATAAAGGCTTTGTGAGTTTGATTGTGATTTGATGTGATTTAGCATATCAGGCCTTCTAAGCCAAAGTTAAAGAAGAGTGAGAAGGCAATCGGTTACGAAGAGAAAGCACGTAAACAAGTTCAGAAAGTGAGTAATTTGATGATATGATTTTCTACACGTGTAAAATGTTTTGCCTTTTTTTTTTCCCCCGGGGAGCTAATTTTATATGATTTATATCTTCTTTGCAGAATGTTGGTGACGACTCTGTAATAGTGGACTTATGGGCTGATGATAGTAAAGGTTTGCTTACTCATTTATTCTACTTTTTAGTTTCTTCTTAATTTTTTTTTTTCCAATGGCATGAAGTAACGTTTACTTTGACAAAAAATAACTTGCAGGAGAAGATGAGAGCAATCCTAGAAAGGTAATGTGTCTGCTGTAATTAAATTGTTTCAGAACTTATTTGGTTATAGACAGGGACAAAGTTGGTTTTTTTTTTTCCCTAGTGGACAGATTTTCAAAAAGCCATCGATTATTCCAGCAGTGGAAATTGAACATCGAGGATGGTCATACAACCCTACAAGTGGAAGTCACCGGCTTATTCTCTGGTGTTTGATAAGACATTACAAATATTCTTATGTTAATTGATTTAATGTTAAGTTCATATGAATTTTCGTTGTAACTACGTGGTGGCACTAACAGCTCAGCTCCTAATATGCAGTTATCACAGCCATCATTGGGAGCTCTACAGACTTGAGAATCCAAATATGTAAAAGTCTGGGAGGTAATGTCAGTTTACCGTGTCT